ATGTGGGGAGAAGGGAGCTATCAGTAGCTGCATTTCTTGGCAAATCTTGTGTTTTCTGACCTTGTTCAGCTGAGTGGCATGCAGCAGAGTAGGACTTTGTGGGAAGTTGCACACAAGTATGTTAGTCAATAATTTAAGCAACACCTATGTCATGTACAACCATTGTACATATTCCATTTGACTTAGATACATGTTTCCTGGAATTGCGAATATATCTATCCATTTTAATAGCGGGCCTGCCTTATTCTGTCACTATATAAAGAAATCTCAAAAATCAGCTTCTAGTCTCTTGGTGACCTGACTCCTTCCTGCACCGACCAGGAGATCCAGTTCCAGATCTGGTCACAGAACTGCTATTTCACTGAGCTTCAGAGTAATTCATAGAACTTCCTAAGGAACCGTTTCAGGCTAGGCTTCAACAGTGCTGCTGGATGATGCAAGAGTGATGGCGTTATGACAATGTTATGTGCTGGTTCTTTCCCTTTTGTGTGGATAGCTGGGGAAAGGAAGAACATCTATACCCCATAGACTAACTCCTGCCTTTATTTCTTTTACAGTGATGATGACCTTATCCCTTATGACATGTCAGAGGATAAAGAACTAAAGATTAAGGCTCCTGTGTATATCCGAGACTGTATTGAAGGTAGGAGATTTTGGGCTGAGTCTTTATCTGTTTCTTACTGGTTTTGGGAGAATAGTCTCTGTGTAGATTTATGTTTTTCTGAGCTAATTTGAAGAAGCTGTAGGATTTCAGTAATCTGGGCTCAAGTGTTGAACTGTAATTTCTGAGTAATTTCAGTTGGGTTCCTAATACCAGTCATATGGTGGGCCAGTGATCCCTGCCTATAACAAGACAAACTATTAGCAGAAGAAAGTTGGGGGTATATACCCAAGCCCAACCATTCTGTTAATAGCTTTTGTTTGTCTTTTGATTACCTTCAGTCCTGACAGGATCTGAAGATGTGGACAAATGGGAAGCTACAGTCAAGACTCTTGAGAGCTTGGTTCGAAACAATCCAGCAGCAACAAGAGAGGTGAAGTAATATGAGCTAAGTTACCAGTGGGCTGTAATACAGGATTATCCTGTTGCCCTCATGAGGAGACTAAATATGCCAGCAGAGCATCAGGCTAGGCTAATGTGTACCTGGATTTAAAGCTTTCAACTTGGGAAGGGAAACAGAAGGAAATAGTTGCTTTGGAGGTGAGGATACAGAGCACAAAGGAGCAGGCAAAGGTGCTGGCAACAGTATGGCATTTACCAGCTCCAGCGCTGAAAATGAAATGCATTGCAAATAGACCTTGCCAGTAATGTGAGGAGGCAGAGGAAGCTCCATGCTTTGTGCTGGGCAATAAAAAAATTAGAGATACAGTTTACAGAGCAGCCGTGAATTCCACAGACCAATTGATTTTAATTTTAGATTTAATTGATTTTGAATTGAAATTGAATTTAATTGTTATTCCCCAACAAAAAGGGAGATAAAATCAAATGGACTTTCCCTATTTGCTAGTACAAGCATAATGTCTTCTGGAGGGAGTAGCTGGGTTGTACTGGTCAAGATGAAAAGCTCAGGTGAGAGGAACTTGGGATGAGGTCACTGGTGTGATGAGTCCTCACCTCCACATGTTAGTGATCACTTGAAGGTGGCAGAGATATAGGCCTTTGCCAGCTGAGAAAGGGAAGGGGGGTA